TTTTCACATAAGTGAGAGGATAGATAATCATTCCATTAAAACAACTGCTTGTATTTTAAAAACTTCGCCCATGTCCAAATGTTACAGCTGTGGCTGGTAGAAACATGTGTACATGTACCTAAGAAGCCACTGGCTTGAAGGTCAAAGCCACTTTCCACATACACGCATTGCACCAAGCCACAGCCAATTGATTTAGACACAGCCATATTGCCACTTGTAATCTGTCCCGAGGCCTATTGAGGATGGTCGCTGTAATTAGGACTGGAAACACAGAGAAGTGAAATCAATGCATTTTCATGCTCTCAACTGTGTTGGGAGTGTAAATTAGCAGTTTCACTTGAGAGTGAAGACTGAAGCGTCAAGGTCTGAATCTAGCTCTTTATGGCCTCACTCATCTTTCATGCAGGATCTTAATGAGGTCACCTGCCCTGTGGAAACCATTTGGTTTATATCATCGCTTACATAAAATAATTATATATAACGGTTTGCCCGTACCCAACGTATATTAATAAGCACTGTATGCTCAGTGCTTGTCCGAGAGCTTATAAAATACATAAAATAAGTTTTAAGAAGCAGTAGACCTTAATTTCATAACCTCTGGGGATGACTAGTCTACTGTGCACTCCAGAAACCTGGCCGATGAAACTGAATGTTCAAATACATGTAAGAACAGACACCATCATCAGGCCAGATGACTTCTCATCTTTGGCGCCTACCGTCTTCTCATACTTGACGGCTTCCTTCTCGGCGATTTGGGCGTGGCGTTCCCGGTTCATATAGCCAGCCTTGAGGGCCCTCTCCAGCTCCCTCAGCTCCACGCTGTTCTCCCGGATCTGCTGGCGGATCAGATGGTCCCGCTTCTCCTGCAGCTTCATCTGCTCCATGGTCCTGGCCATCTGCTCCTCCAGCTGCATCTGCTGCTCTCGCTGCGTCCTCATCTGCTGGGCCTGTTTGCAGGAGAGCATCCCAAAAAAAGAAACACTGACTCCGATATTTATCTCAAAAGTCACTCTGGCAAGTTGTGACTTGTTCTCATCAGTTCATGGAGTGGGTCACATATTTAATAATAAGATGACAGCATTTACAAGGCGCACAATATCTCAACTGTCTGTAATTCCAAGGTGCTAATATCCTCGCACATTGGGCTCGCAACATCTGAACATTCCCGACACCATTACAGTTCCCTGGGGAGTATACTTGCCTGATGCTGTTATATCAGGCCAAAACAGGTAAATTATGGGGAGAGGCACGCAGGCATAAAGTGACTTGCCCAAGATCAAACATGCTGCCACCAGCAGGATTCGAACCCTTGACCCTATGATCAGAAGCTAAAAACCCTAACCACTGAGCCCCATGCCACAGACTGCCACATTACATTACCTACCCTGGCTGTGTTCTCCAGCATCTCCCGTTCCATCTGCTCCTTCTGCATCTGTCGGATGTATCTCTTGGTCTCCACCCGCTCTTCACTGGCCATGTTGGCCTCAAACAGCTTCTCCTGGTGCAGGCGCTTGACGTGGTCCTGCCGGACCTCCTCCTTCCGCCGGTTCTCAGTCTGCTGGCGCTCCTGCTGGGCGTGGGTCAGGTTGCGTCTAACCATTGCCTGTGTGAAGGGATTTCAGATCAAGTTGCATCGTTGGGGCACATTGGCATTCAGTAACCATTGCAGCGCCCGGGTATGGGCATGCCAGTTTCTTCTTGGAAGAACGCTTTAGGTTTGCTAATCTTAAATATCAAATGTTTATCTAGAATTATTTATCTATTGCTTTTTTTTTTCAAAATTGCATATAATGGTGAACTGCCAAAGACTGGGATTTTGTTTAACAAATATTTTCAAAAATATACGTAGGGCCTAGGACTATAAAGACTTGAGAGATAAGACAAGTTCCCCGTCTGTGTAATAAATCTCTCTGGTTCCCAGACCAAAGAGATCCCGACTGTGTTCAGCATTGGTCAAACGATCGGGACTTAATCGCTGTAGAAAATGAATGGCCGATGTGAAGACGACCAAATTGAAACTCAAATTTCACAGACTTCTACAAACTAAAAATCGCCCATATTAATACATCAATGGTCAAATGTGGTGAATAGGCCATCCGTGCAAAATGGGATTCATGGAAGGCATTTTCGCAGAGTCTCCACATTTTGGGTGGACTGTTGTGGGGATAAGGATATGGAGGTCGTGGGCGAAACTCAACCCTGCTCTGAAAAACTGTAGTGTGAGTGGATTCACCATAGAGTAAATATAAAAACTACAGCACTGACTTATGTACAAAGTGATGCCTGCTGGGCGCATCCATGTTTGTGCACAAACCTACGGAAAACTCAAAATTCTATGGCTTTGGTGTCAGTATTCTAAAGCGATATGTCAACAAAGCCGATACGCAAAGAACCTGAACACACAATCAGTACATGAGCGTTTCATTTTGCTCAGTGTCAAAAAACACAAATGCGTGAGCATGTGCGCTGCACATAAATTTTGCCATGAGGTCTTTTAATCAGATTTCGTCGGTGCCCGATGTGCACGACAGCCACCACTCCAGAGCAGTCAACTCACTTAACTCTGACTGAATTAAGGGAAAACTTTTTTATTTAGCTGAACTTTATTATTGAAAGACAGCCATCGAAAGACATGCATACAAAATCAGACAACCTTGCTCGAATGTTAGGGAAACATTCGTTTTGAAATAATCAGCTATAGATGCCCCAACATTCACGCTTGTTGGACTTAAGCATTGTATTAAGAATACATAGGCCTAGGTCTAATTCGATATCTATTCTATCTGATTTTGAATGTTCTACAAGCACACACATGAATTCAAAATATCTGCGCCCAGGACGGCATCAAATTTTCTCCGCACAGAGAATGAGAAGATAATGCTCAATAGCTCTATGGATGGGGTTCACACAGTAAAATTGAGTTCAACCCGGGCCGGTAGGCATGGTAGGTGAGAAGGCCTAGTGTGAAAAGCCCATTGGAATTTCATTAAATTGGCCCCATTTACACAGCATGGATCACAATTTCTAAATTTTTTCATCTCTGATTTAGTTTTTATTCTCAGTTATTGTGTCAGTGTAACTTTTATCAACGGGCTGCCTGGCTCAAGACTGTGTGGACCAGTCCCATGTTATGAAAGTGCCATTGAGACTTTTTGCACAAACCAATAACCAAACGAAAACCCTGCTTGAACACTTTTCATTAAATTTCATTATTACTTACGCTTACCATGGCTATTGCCTTATTGCGGACAACTTGGGGTAAGTTTGACTTTCTCGTAATTTACAGTTTAGCGATGAATGAAGGTTCTCTCTCAGTGGACGTCCTGAGCAAGCAATGTAATTTGTATTATTGTAAAAGCCGGTTTCAAGCAATCGCTGAGCTGAGTTCATTTGCGATGTGTGCAAAGGAGCTTGCATCTGAATGGCCCGCTGGTACGCGAATATGATTTACACGTTGTTATGAATGTAACCAAGTGAATATTCAAATCACGGGATTTCTCGCGAGAATTACCAAATTCTGCTGACCACTGCTGTGTACAGCTATGGCTGTACAGTACTTTGTTACGTGACAATGCAATGACAGCAAACTGAGCCGTAGCCACAAATGGAAAATATTTTGAACTAAACAACAGGGCTTAACCTCCTTGAACTAAACCAAGTGAGAAAATATTCTGTTGCAAAACATCTTGAATAATAAAACACTTTATAATATGGATTTAGATTATTTCTTTTTATTTAAAATATATTTTAAAAAATAAGTCTTTCGTAACCATAGATATTTTGGAAGTGACTACTTGGTTTATTTCTCAAGGATGAGGCAGTATCACAACCGGGAAAGTGTACTTATGATAATTTATACTTACATCACATTTGGCAACGGCATATGCATCGCAGAATATGAATTATGCAGTATCTGCCCTTCGGAAGGGCACTACACGTATGTACGATGTACATGTACAGTACATGTATAGTACATGTACTGTACATGTACAGTATATTGTTTTGTACACGTGCATGTAGAATGTGTACATGTAAATGTATTATTTCGCTACCTTTGTGACATACATGGGGCGGAAGCAGACATCTGGGGGGGGGTCGGGGTCAGGCCTACCATTTTTTTTTGTAATGTTACAAAGCACACATAGAAAATACATTAAATTAATAAGTTGTTACTTGTGTACTCAGAAATAATAACTCTTAATGGATGTCATGTTTTATATTAATATTTAAATTTTTCAACTTTTTTCTAATATTCGGGTGTCCGGGGGATTCGACCTGGGCCCAACATAGCCATCAAAAGTGACAAGTTCGTTATGTTCATGTATACGCTACGGGTAGGCTCTGATTAGTGAGTACTGCTGTCAACGAATGGCATCATCATGTGTTTTCATCATTACATATTTAATATTTACATGTACATGTCATGTACACTGTTTCTCACCTGTGCTAAGAGTGGTGGTTTCATTCCACTTCCTGTGTTTGATTGTGAGCGCAATGTCTGTCGTAAATAGAAGGCCTACACCATAAACAGGATAATTCATATTGCTTCAAATTACGCGAAAAGGTTATTTTAAACAGAATTGGTCATTTCTACCCATATATTAACATTTAGACCCCACCAGAATCTTCCTGAAAGGCATATGACAAGTTGAAGTCTTCTCAGATATATCTGACTAAAACCATGTTACACGACGTTGTACTTGCGCCGCTGCGCCCCCAAATCGGCCTATTATTTTTTCTTAGTTCTCTAACTTAAGGGAGCCCGGGGAAAGTTAAGTACCGGTATTTGACAAAGGATCAAAGGGCAACGCCACTGTAGACACAGACAAGACCGGGTATGACAGCAAGGTAGCAGAATGATTCTTAACTCCAGCTGCTACGGTATTCTTAAAACGAACCTAGGTGGCGATTTAGAGGGTGGTATGGGGTTCCCCCCCCGCTCATTAACTTTTTTCATTTTTTCAAATCTTTTAATCTTTTATGTCTAAAGGTCGGCGCCCCCCCCCTTAAAGTGTATAAAGCCTTTAAGGGCCTTGTTTGCGGTTCAGGACAAGAAAGAGAGATCATGGCTTCAGAAATGGCGACAAATACATGTAATAACAACCCCCTTCCTCAAACAAAACTTCCTGACCCCGCCCCACTTTCGTCCCATGAAAAATTATGATTTTTCAATAAAGGATTAACTAACCATTACCCAATCTTGTGATTTCTTCAGATAAAATCATTTTCTTTAATCTTTTGGTAAGTTTTGAAAACAGCCCTCGGTACTCTTTAAATTATGAATATCTTTACTTGCGTTTTACGAATCAGTTATTAGACGTGTGGGTTTAAAATGAAAGTAACACCCGCCAATGTGTTTGAGAATAACATCTTTTTACGTGTTACTTTGACGAACGCGCCGACCCCGAATACTACACTCTTAGAAAAAGACACAGTATGAATATTCCAATTCTTTTTCTTCATCTCGGGATTCTTTTTTTTCTTTTACAATTTCGGAATAACAAAATTCCATTTGTTCAATGACCAAGTAATTTTTATTGAAAAAGGCACGCAGAAAACTCTACTTGTCACAACTATATGCCCGGCAATTTAATCCTCCAAACCCATACAAATTTTTTATTTCATTTTTTCAAATTTCATTTTTAATCTGTCTTCACACGCTACCCAGTTGTTTTCTTCTTATTATTTGCACGTATTATTATCATTATTAGGTATTGTATTCATGTCATCCTAAAAATGAAAATTGCTGGCCTAAAAAAAAAAGAAATATCGTCATGGTACGTAGGGGTCCTCTTCTGAGTTGGGCGTTTGCATTGGGGGTAATGACTTCCTAGAGGGTCTGTAAAATGAAGGGTGTTTGACAGAAGCTTTGGACCGATGCCAAAATTATCTTCGATTCTCTGCCTTGGGGGTGAAATGGTCATTTTTTACACGCAGGAAAAGTAAAGAGTGTTGTAGTAGTGGTAGAATGGCACGTATGGCGCATGTGACGTGCCCTTTGTGAAACGAACATCAAATTATGCATCAGCTAGTCGGAATCGGGGTCGAATATATTACATGGCAGATGTATGTGCATAAAAATAAAAGGCTTCAGTGTGACTCCCGGGATATTACTCTACTGTCAGTGAGCCAGTAAACGCTGATCAGATTGCCTCAAGCTTTAACCATAAACCCAACCACGTGGTGTATCCAGCTCGTGCATCAAAATGGGATGTGAATTTTGTCTAAAGGAAAGTCAACTTGATTATCAGTAAAAGAAAAATGCTAATCCCCCTCCCCTAAAGAAAGATGTAATACCATTCGTATGGTATCGGAGTTTTCACGTCTTATATTGAATAAATGAATAAAAATTTAAATTTAACATCGGAAACAAATGTTTCTCGGGGACAACTATTCCCCTGTCCTTACTGGTGAAAAATCTAGGCCCCCTACCTGTTGGAGAATAGACCTGATGGGATTATAGTAAATCTTTTGCATAACCATGTGAAGTTCCCGCCAAAATGTTACAAGAACGGCGGAGATTGTGGTCTCTTGGGTATTGCACAGCACCTGTATTCACAGCTGTTAGTTTGCATCCGCATACTGCAGGGTATCAGAAACTCCCAACTCCACCGACGGAGTCTTTTTATGCAGTATACCATGTGGTCGCCGAGCGGCACGTTGCGCGAAATTCGAAACATCGGCATCGGCACGCCGAACAGGTGGTCGTACGCAGGCATATCGTGCTTTGTGCTAAAACTACGCTCCTTGCATTGTACTTGAAGGCTAGCAACGCACAGCAGTCATAATGATCTCCATTTTGCATACTGCTTTGTAGTGGTGTTTGAGGTACGTTGATGTGTGAATTGGAGACACTGTGTAGGTGAGCTTTTTTTAAAAAAATATTAAAATCGAAAACATTATCCTTCTCTCTAGGTTATACAGCGAGAAACAGCTGACATGTTACCTCAAAGAATATGTTACAGCTTTTACTGACCTAGCGTGAAGTCAAAAACTTGCTGTCATTTTACCGATGACTCGTAAAAATATAGCAAGCCTTCGTTCTTCCGTTGTAAAGAAAGGTATGGCTTCAACTTGAACACTCCTGGTTCTGCTGATTCCAGTACGAAGTCAATGTTAATGAATGAAAGGGCGAGATTACATATGGAAAAAGGTCCTGGGCATGTCATTCCCTTGTAATCTACAAAGTCTGTTTTAAATTACCAGCTTGAATAACGTAGCGTGGAACGTTTACTGCCAGCAGATGACTAAATGTAGAGCTGCCTGGCTGACCGATGTATCAGGACATGGGACTGTCTGGCTAACAGGACGTGCAACTGCCCCGTGTGAAAGTTGAGTATTTTGGTTGTTTTTTCGGAGAGCAGGGGTAGTATTGGCTACCTTCAGGAGATGATCGACCATGCCTTTGCGAGATCAAGTTTCTCTTGTTACCTCTTGTCTCTGTTTTGTTACTCGTAAGTGTTTGTGCTTGTTTTGTGTGTCATTTCCAAAATTCTTTTTCACTCGGCATGTCACTAACTCTCGTTTTAGTCTTTGAGTTTGCATGCAGATAATAATTCGATATGCGACTGCCTGGCTGAAAGGATGTGCGACTGCCAGATGTTAAAGTTGGTTATTTTTGTTTGCTTTTTGGGTAGCAGGGTAGCTCTTGCTACCCCCAGGAGGTGATCGACCCTGCCTTTGCGAGATCACGTTTGTCCTGTTATTTGTTGTCTGAGTTTTGTTATTCATTAGTGCGTGTGCTTTTTTTGCCTTTTATTTTCGAAACTCTATTGTCTTGCCATGTCACTAACTTTCGTTTTAGTCTTTGTG